AACCCGTCAAACCGTGAAAACAGCATGACGTTTTTTTGGCTACGTTCGACATCTGAGGGCCCTCGCCGGGGGTCAAGAAAACTCCTCAGGATGATAAACGTGTCCCAGATGAGAAACTCCTCAGGATCCGAAGTCTGTCCCAGGGTATGGGTCGAGACCTCTGGGGATCGTAAAGCCGAGGGCCTGGGGAAACAAGACTTATCCACGATGTGTCCAAGACGCCTCGAAGCGAGCAGGAGATGCCTGGGGAAACGCTCCAAGTTGGAGGCGGTCGAGAGGTCTTTGGGCCCCCAGACAATGGGCCAGGAGGGGGGCTGAAGCCAAATCCACTCAAAATCGGTTCCCGGACCCCTCCCTGGCGTTCACCCCGGATCCGTTTCCCATGGTCTCGGGGCCCGGAAACGGCCCCCAGAGGCCGAAGAGGGCAAGACACGCACCCGAAGCCAGCGCCTCGAACCTGCTCGCCCTCCTTGCTGGCCGGCACCAGTGCTGGGCCACCTCAGACCCCCAGACGGCTCCAAGCTCCACGAGGTCTTCAGATTCGGGAGCGGCCAAGAGGGGGGTGTCCAAGAGGGGGGGGTGCAAATCATGACTGGCGGCATGTGCGCGGCCCAGCAGGGGGGCCAGGGACGTAATGAAATAAGAAGAGGCGCCATGAAATCTGGGGAAACATCATGGCCCCCGCCATGATATCCCCCCCCCTAGTCATCACCCCCCTCTTTGCCGCCCCCGAGCATAGGGATAGGGATATGTTCCAGGCTGGTAAATGAGGCCTCGGACAAGGACACCCCCGGTCTCGACGACGGGCCGCGCCACCGGCTCCTGGGTACCGGTCCCCCGGCAGCTCTTGGGGAGGGTCGCCCGCCCGTCCTTGGGAGGGTCGCCCCTTCTGAAAGGCGCCCTGGGACACACGAAGAAATACACACAAACAACAGGATGCCCCACATTTTCGATACACGTTCTGGGCTTTTTTGTCGTCCCCCCCACTTTTCCCCTATTTTCCCATACTTTTCCGGAGAATCGACGATGCATTCTGTCTGCGTGTGTTTGTTCCCTCCTGACCTTCGGATGTTGGGTCCGGTGCCCGCCTGTCCTTGCGACGGCCGCCCGCCAGTGCTCGGGTTGATCGCCCGTGGAGTGGGCCCACCGGCTGGCGGCCGGGGCCGTTCCCTCGCGCCTCTTGTTCGGGCGGGATGCCTCGGAAGGGGGTGGCGCGAGAGGGGGGTGGGCCTCCGAGAGAGGGCGGCGGGGCTTCGAGCAAGGCAGGGGGGGGGGCCTCGTAGAAGGCCCCAGGGGCTTCTGAGAAGGCCGCTTCAGACGCGCCTGGGGGAACAAACACACGCACACACACACACACACACACACACACACACACACACACACACACACGCACGCACGCACGCACGCACGCACACACGCACACACACACACACACACACACACACACACACACACACACACACACACACACACACACACACACACACACACACACACACACGCACACACACGCACGCACACTGTGGAAACAAATGTATGTGTTTTTCCACACGGGGCTTCTAAGAAGGCCTCTTTGGACGCGGGCGAGCTCCTAAAACGCCTCCCCGCGGGTTCTCAAAAGCACAGCCCCTGGGGAGACCCAACAAAATATCGATACCACTACTCCACGGACCTCTCCCGGGGCGCGTTCGGACCAGAATGTCGAGGCGCATCCAGCGGTGGCGACGAGGGCCTACCAGGAGAAGGAACAAGGGGAAAGCAAGCTAAGGGGAGCGGTATGGGCACAGTATGAGCTCGACCATGAGAAACCTTCCACAAGAAGCCTGACCCTGAGACCCCAGGACGGCCATCGATTTTTGGTGCGGGGACGTCACGCTTCCCATCGTAGCACCATCGAAACCCAGGAAACCCAGGGCACCCTGGAGGCAAGCAGGGTGTCGCTTGGCACGGGTTTCCACTGTACCTTTGCCTCCTTGGGCGCCCGAGTTATCCGAGGTAACTCGGGTCCGGGGTAACTCGGGTTTGGATTCCCCAAAAAAGAAACCCGAGTTAGCCCTGACCCGAGTTACCCCTGATGATGTGGGGCTCTGGATGCCCGAATTATCCGGGGTAACTCGGGTCTGGAGTAACTCGGGTTCGGACTCCCGAAAAACGAACCCGAGTTAACCCTGACCCGAGTTACCCCTGATGATTCGGGGCTCTGACCTCCTCCGAGCCTCGCCCTCTCAGAAGCCTGGCCCCCTCGCGCCACCCCTCTGCCGGCGGCGCCGAGGGCCTCCCCTGCGAGGCAGGACCCCCGGGTCTCCGACGCCAGGATGCTCCGGTGGAGGGAAGCAATTCGTGAACACCCCCCCTGCCCCCCAAACTCTCAAAGTTGGCACGCGCGGGGGGGGAGGACTGCGGCCGAGGTGCAACTCATCAGGCCCACCACCGACTTTGAATACAGTCATCGGCCTGACCTAAGGAACGATAAATAAGGAACGAGCGCCCTTTTTCATCCAAGGAAGAACGCATAAGGACCGAGCCCCTTTTGAAAAGCAAGTGTTCCTTATTCAAGCCGCTCACTGTATTGGGGGGAGGGAGAGGCGTTCACAGATGAATGTGGCATGAGTGTTCGCTATTCTTTGTCCGAGGCCTGTCTCGCTCCTGGCGCGTTCTTCCTCGCTGTCGGCCTGCTGGGCCTGCCGCATCGGGCCCCGGGGGGCCACCCATTACACCCTGCGAGGCACCCAGGCAGAAGCAGAGGTGCAACGAGCGGGTCGACGAGTACAGTCGACCCGTACAGTGAGGACGCACGACGAGGATGCAAGGGCCTTGGAAAGCCATGTCGACGTTTTCCGAGCAGGGGGCGGCCAGCGAAAGCATGCAAGGGTGGCCTTGGAAAGTCGCTCATCTTTACTGTGCGGGTTGACTGTAGGAGGACGGCGGAGAACGTGCATTCCTTTGACTTTCTAGGGATCCCTCGGAAGCGCGTCAAGTGCGATAGGGTGCTCACCCTTGCGTCAGAGGCGCACGCAGGAGCGGATCCGCGACGCAGAACAGCCCCGCTTGCTTGGGCGGGGCCGCGGATTTTATGCTTCGCGATGGGGTCCGACACTGGCCCAGGCCGCCTCCCCTCCCCCCCCTGGCAACGTCACGATTCGTGCGCACCTCGGACGTGCCTCAGGGTATGCCTCAGCATGCCCAGACGGCGCCGGCGCGGAACGCGACGTTCCCAACCCCCCTCGCCGCCACCCCCCCTCCCCTCTCTCCCTCAAGTAACGCCCTGTGTCGCAGAGGAAGAAAGAGAGCATTTCCTGAGACACCAGGACGCTGCTAGCCCTGGACTGCTGGAAATCCTGCCTGGAGGAGATGAAGGGGCCCTGGGGCACACAAATACATACACACAAATCGAAGGATGCCCCATAGTTCCCCATATGTTCTGGGTTCTCGTCTTCCCCCCCCCACTTCCCATAGTTTCCCATATTTTCCTGGGAGTGGACGATTCGTTGTGTCTGTGTGTTTTCCTCCCTCCTGAGGAGAGGCAGATCGGAGCACGCTTCGGCCCCCGGCCGAAAAAATCTCCGGGGCGCGCCAGAGCTCGTGGGCGAAGACGTGCCCGTATCCGCGGCCTCGCGGGCGGGGCCCTCCAGCCACGACTCCGCGGACCAGGGGCGTTTCTTCGCGGATGCCCTCCGCGCGGAGCGCATCCGTGCGGCCACGCGTCCGCGGCATCGCGCCCTGGAGCGCCGCAGACCGCGAGGGCGTGGATACCGATATGCATGCGCCGCTCGTGAGGGCCTACGGGGACCTCTGGCCTGGGGGGGAGGGAGAAGCGACGGGCCTGCTTTCCACCACCACCACCACCACCATAAGTTGGAGGGGGGAAGGAGGGGGAGGAGGAGGAGGAGGAGGAGGAGGAGGAGGAGGAGGAGGAGGAGGAGGAAAAGGAGGAGGAGGAGGAGGACGAGGAGGAAGAAAAAGAAGAAGAAGAAGAAGAAGAAGAAGAAGCAGAAGAAGAGGGGGAGGAGGACCCCCTCCCCCATCCTACTTCTGGCGGTGGCGGTGGAAAGCCAGCCCACCGAGAGGGGGAGAGCTGGGGGGGGCAGGGCCGGGGCCGAGGCGCAGCGCGTCCTGCCACCTGCACCCCGCCTCGCGCCCGGCGCGCGCTCGCACGGAGGGGCGTCCGAAACTCTGGGACAGGCCTCGACACCCCCCATGGAGCCCCCGGAACTGCGCGCGGACCTCGCCGGACGGGCGGGCGACCCTCCCAAGGACGGGCGGGCGACCCTCCCAAGAGCTGGCGGGAGACCGGACCCAGGAGCCGGCGGCGCGGCGCGTCGTCGAGACAGGTGGTGGTGTCCCTGTCCTTCGCCATCGCTCGGACGTCCATTCCGTGTGCTTTTTGTCGGTTTCGTGCGTGGTTTTTTTCGCCAAATGATCAAGGAGGCTCCTCGATGGTCCCCGCCGAAGGAAAAAATGCACACGTCCGAGCGATGCCGAGGGACACGTGCAGCACGCAGACTGCGCGCGGACGTGCGACGGGAGATACCATAGCGGCGACCTTGAGCTGCGCGGGTCGCCCGCGCGGCACGCCACGGTGGAAGCGAGCGTGCCTACGCGCGACCGCACGCGGGAAGCTTGCGCGCCAATGTCGGTGAAGCAGACCCTCTTTTCGCTCGTCGCTCGTGTGGCTGGGCAGAGCTCGCGCGACGACCAACAACATTGCAGGGTACAGCGCCTCTTGCCCCGGACAAATTCATGATGTCCGCGACTCTCAACCAAGCGTCGAACACGTAGTCTGGAACCGGACCCCCGAACCGAACCAGACCGCGACGCGATTCGGACCGGCCGATCCGAACTGGCCGAATGAGCCGACCCCCAACGCGAACCGAACCTGCCGAGCCGAGCCACCGAACCGAACTGGCCGCGCTTGAATGTGCTTGAGGCCTTGAGGCCAACAACCATCCCTGGGGTGGCCGCCGATGCCCTCCCTGGGGTGGAGGTGCCGAGGCCCAAGCTCTCGGCCGCCCTGAGCTCCTCGTCCAGGCTGCGCATGTTGGACAGCCCCGCGGCCACCTCGCGCCTGACAGGAGACGGGGGGCGGGGAGGAGAAATTACATTAAGTTTGCACATGTTATAAGAGATTGGTGTTAAACATTGCTGCATTTGTGTTTAAAGGCTCTGTTAAAGTTAGATATATATATATATATATATATATATATTTAATAATTCGTCTGCAGAAGCTTATTATGGAGTGTTGACCACCAGAAATTAGTTTTGTAAAGTAAATATTCATGGCGGCGTGGCAGGCAGAGGAGAGCGAGGAGAGGGGGCTGGGACGGGGAACGGGATGGGGGGAGGCGGCGGGGAGCGAAGGTGTTTGCGCGGGGGGCGGGGCGTTCTGGTGCCCGCTCGAGCCCACCCCGCCCGACTCTCCAGGGACGCAGCCGTCGCCGCCGCCGCCGCCGCCGCCGCCGGGGCCGCGGCCGCCGCCAGCGCCGCAGAAGCCGCCGCCATCGCCGCCGCCGCCACTGCCGAAGCCGAGGCCCGAGGGGGTGGGGCCTCGGGGACGAGGTGCGGGGCCGAGGGGCACGGCGGGGGGACAGGGGGAGCGCGGACGGCGCTGCCGAGGCCGCCCCGGCGCCGCCCCACGCTCGCCGCAGCCCGGCGCGCGGCGCGCCTGTACAGCGCCATGTCGGTCGCCTCTCTTGCGCACGCGCCCCCTCCCCTCCTCGTCCCCGCTGGTCGCCCTCTTCCCCATCCCTTCTCCTCCCTCCTCCCATCCATCCCTTCCTCAATCATGGACACGATGCGGCGACAACAAGGCTCCCCCCTCCTCATCCTCCTCCTCATCCAGCGTCTCCTCAGGCAGATGGCACAAGAGGAAAACGTCCTCCTCGTACGAGGGGAGGAGGAGAAATGTAGTGGCCCTCGGTCCCACAGTAGCCGATGAGGCCTCTAAAGCCAGATGGGGGAACTTGTTAGCTCAATTCTTCCAGACTGGCCCAACATTCACCCACGCATCGAAAGTTACGTGCCACAGGCTGTAAGTGGACTGAGGATTCGCCTGGAAGCTATCCATACACGAATCAGTCTCAAGAAATAAATATCATGGACAACCTTCGAGGCCGCTCACACCTAAGTACGAACCCTGGCCCCACGAGTGTGTTATAGCCCAGCGCTTCCTCACCGATGATGACCATAATGTGACCGATGGTCCACGCTGAGTCACACCACGCGAGGGGGTACACCCTGAAGGGGAAACTCTACCGGTCATGTATATTTAGGGTCCTGGCTTGGATCTTGGACCGACGCTGAGCCCCACTGCCTGGCGCGCTCCGCGCGCCAGGGGTGGCGCTGGAGGCGCCGCCAGGGGGGCCCAACACCCGCCTCTGCGAGGACCTCCGAGAAATTATGTTCATGCCGTCTTTTGTTATTCGAGCTTGCGCACATGGACCGTCTGTCTCACCGAGTTGTGGTGGGCTAGAACTGGCGGCGCGACACGCTGAGCCAACATTCCTGACCGCATCAACCTCCGACTTGAGCACTCTGCCTCTCCTCGAGTCCCCTTTTTTAATGATGCCCGTGACCAGCCCAGCCTCCCACCCTCCCCACCCTCCCCTGGTCACGTCACGAGTCGCGCCGGCGCCAGGTGGGAACTCTTGGCGGCGCGCAGAGGGGGGTACGGGGAGGGGGGAAGGCGTCTTAGGTTGCTGCTTTTTAGAAGGAGCGGGCTGTACATCTACAGCAAAGGCCCGCGCCCTGTAAGAAGCAGCCTCCTTCTAAGAAACCTTTCCCCGTCCCCCTACACACACACACTGGTGCCTGGCCCAAAAAAAACATTCCTAAACATTCCCAGACAGCGCCGGCGCGAATCGTGTCACGCCCGTCATCGCCAGGGGATGAACAAAACAGTCTCCTGGTGCGTACACCTGGTCTGTTGGATAAGACAAGCAAAACTACGGCTTGATCCAAGATGGCTATGCGGACGCTGTCTGACCATGTTTTCTCGGCGGATACCCAGCAGCCATGGCGACGAGACCCCAGACAGCCTCCGCCATGATTCTTGTCCATCCACGGCCCCAAAGGCTTCGACCCCTTCCTGGGGGATGTTCTTTCCGTCCACGATCAATTCTTGGTGGCCCCCGAGCCCGATAACGGGTCCCGGAGGCCGAAGTCGACGAAACACCGCAGGATTGAACGCAGCATACCCTTGGAGATCTGGGATCCTCGGGGACGCAACTGACCCGGGTCGATGCAAACCTACGCGGCGCGCCAGGGGGGAAGTGAGAAGGGGCGGGCCTTCTCAGAAGGCGCCGCCTTCTGAGAAAGCCTTCTCCTTCTCATTTCCCCCCTTCGCTCGACGCCGAACCCCCGGGTCAGCGGGCCTTTTCAGAAGGCGGCGGGCCTTCTCAGAAGGCCTCTGGCCTTCTGAAAGGTTTTTGCTGTGTCTTCGGGGAAGGCTTAGAGAACGTCTCAAAGACTGGGAGACTTCCGAGCTTTGGGGCCACCAAGAAGGGGTCGAAGCCTTTGGGGCCGCGGAGGGACAAAAATCATGTCGGAGGCTGTCTGGGGTCTCGTCGCCATGGCTGCTGGGTATCCTCCGCGAAAACATGGTCAGGCAGCGTCCGCATAGCCATTTTGGATCAAGCCGTAGTTCTGTTTGTCTTGTCCAACAGACCAGGTGTACGCACCAGGAGACGTTTTTTTCATCCCATGGCGATGACGGGCGTGACACGAGTCGCGCCGGTGCTGTCTGGGAATGTTTAGGAATGTTTTTTGTTTGGCCAGGCACCGGGGGGGGTGTAGGGGGAGGGGGAACGGTTTCTTAGAAGGAGGCTGCTTCTTACAGGGCGCGGGCCTTTGCTGTAGATGTACAGCCCGCTCCTCCTAAGAAGCAGCCTCCTAAGACGCCTTCCCCCCTCCCCGTACCCCCCTCTGCGCGCCGCCAAGAGTTCACACCTGGCGCCGGCGCGACTCGTGACGTGACCAGGGGAGGGTGGGGAGGGTGGGAGGCTGGGCTGGTCACGGGCATCATTAAAAAAGGGGACTCGAGGAGAGGCAGAGTGCTCAAGTCGGAGGCTGATGCGGTCAGGAATGTTGGCTCAGTGTGTCGCGCCGCCAGTCCTAGCCCACCACAACTCGGTGAGACAGACGGTCCATGTGCGCAAGCTCGAATAACAGAAGACGGCATGAACAGAATTTCTCGGAGGTCCGCGCAGAGGCGGGTGTTGGGCCCCCCTGGCGGCGCCTCCAGCGCCACCCCTGGCGCGCGGAGCGCGCCAGGCAGTGGGGCTCAGCGTCGGTCCAAGATCCAAGCCAGGACCCTAAACATACATGACCGCGAGAGTCTCCCCTTCAGGGTGTACCCCCTCGCGTGGTGTACGCTCGCTGCCAGCGACGCCTCGGGAGGCGCCAACGCGGTCCGGTGCACACCGCGAGGCTTCGTGTGGCGCACGGCCGGCCCCCCGCACAGGCAGAGTACCCTGGCCGGCCTCGGCCGGGCCCCCCGGGCAGCCCCAGCTGGCCACCCGGCCCCCCCGAGCGGGGCGGCCCGGCGGCGCGCGCCCTTGCGGCGCCCCTGGGGCGCTCCTCCCCGCCCCTCCTCCTCCTCCTCCTCCCCCTCCCTGATTGCTCGTTCTCCCTCCTCCTCCTCCTCCTCCTCCTCCTCCTCCTCCTCCTCCTCCCAATTCAGGGCAGGGTGCGCGTGTGGAGTGAGCCCCGCCCTGCCCCATCGGAGACCGTGTAGGGGGTCGGGGCAGGGCTCGCGCGTGGACCCCTGCCCTTTCCCTGCCCCGCACCCCCCTCCTCCGTGCGGCCCCGGTGCCCGCCACGGGCAGGAGATGGCGGCGCACGAGGGGAGGACGCACGAGGGGCCTCGGAGGGCCGCGCCAGACACGCCTGGCGGGGGGGGGGGGGCGGGGCGCAGGGCCAGCGAGAAGAAGCGACCGAGGGCGGGCCGAAGGGGCGGGGTGCAGGGGCAACATGTCAGGGTGACCCCTATCGTGCCTTCCAGGGGCCACATCCCGGAGATGGCTTCGAGCACCCGGAACACGGTATCGCGACGGTGCTGATCCCGCCGTACTTCTGCAAGGCCCCACATCTCAGAGGTGGTATACTTCTAGCACCCAGAAGTGTAGCGAACCAGTGTTGATCCCGTCGAACTTGTAAGGACCACATCCCAGACGTAGCTTCGAGCACCCAGAACAGTATCGAAACAGAGTTGATCCCATCGTGCCTTTAAGGGCCGCATCCCAGACACAATTTCGAGCACCCAGAAAAGTATCGAAACAGTGTTTATCCCGTCGTGCTTTTTACGGGCCACATCCCAGAACTAACTTCGAACACCCAGAACAATATCGAAACAGTGTTGATCCCAACATCCCAGAAATAATTTCGAACACCAAAGAAAGTGTCGTAACCGTGTCGAACGAGTATCGCCTCTCAAGGCCCCACACGTGCAGACCCTTAAGTTTCGGTACATACTTGCTTGGTGCTCGACATGTTGGTCCCATCGTGCATTTCACGGACCGCGTCCCAAAAAGAGCGTACTCGTTAAGGGCCACATCCCAGACATAGTTTTCGAACACCCGGACAAAAAACATCGGAACGGTGTTGATCCCATCGTGCTTTTGAGGGCCACATCCCAGCAACAGTCTCGAGCACCCAGAAGAGTATCGCAACAGTGTTGATCCCGTCGTGCTTTTAAGGGTCACATCCCAGCAACAGTTTCGAGCACCCAGAACAGTAACGAAAGATCTCATCGTGCTTTGTAAGGGCCACATCCCAGACGTAGTTTTTCGAGCACCCAGAAGAGAATCAAAACAGTGTTGGTCCCGTCGTACCCTTACGGACCACATCCCAAAAACAGCTTCGAGCACCCAGAACAGTATTGAAACAGTGTTGATCCCGTCGTACGTTTAATGGCCACATCCCAGAAATAATTTCGAGCACCCAGAACACAGTATCGGAGCAGTGCCAATCCCGACGTACTTGCAAGGACCACATCCCAGACATAGTTTGGAGCACCCAGAACAGTATCGAAGCAGAGTTGATCCCATCGTAATCGTAAGGACCACATCCTAGAAATAGTTTCGAGCACCCAGAAAAAGTATCGAAGCAGTGTTGACCCCGTCGTACTTTTGAGGACCACAATCCAGAAATAACTTCGAGCTTTCAGAACAATATCGAAGCAGTGTTGATCCCATCGTACTTCAGGACCACATCCCAGAAATAGGTGCGAGCACCCAGAAAAAAGTATCCACACCGTGTCGAACGAGTGTCGCCTCCCAGGGCCCGACACGTGAAAACCCTCAAGTTTCGGTACTTGCTTGGAGCTCGAGATTATTTCTGGTGGTCAAGGCTGAAGCACGTGAGGACATAGTGAGGGTAGCCTTGGAAAGTCACTCGTCCGCGCTATGCGGGTTGACTGTACCTGGGGGCCTGCTTGACCACTTACCAGACCACCCCAACCTAACCCGAAGACCCAAGTTTCGGGTGGGGGGTGGGGTACGGGTTCCACACGTGCTTGTTCAGTGTAGTTACTGGAAGTGGAAGGTAAACTTGGGCCTTCGGGTTGGGTTGGGGTGGTCTGGGGGGAGAGGTCTGTCGAGACCAGCTGGGACTGCCCCGGGGGCTGCGCGCATCCCGAAGCCCTGCCAAGTGCACACCACGTCGCCCGCGGATCCCAGCCCAGACCTCTCCGCCGACCCGGCCGCCCTCGGAGCGGCGAGGCTTGAGCTAGGACCGAGCGCCCTGGCATTCCTAGAGGCCTACCACGCGATGTTCTCAGAGCCAGCGCATGTCCCTGGGGATGCCAAAAGGTACCGATACCGCTACTCCCGGGGCATCTCCCGGGGTGCGTTCTGACCAGAATTCCGAAGCGAGTCCAGCGGTGACGACGGGGGCCTCCCAAGAGGCCCCAAAACGGAAAAACGGGCGCGAAGGGTAGAGGTAAGGGTATATTTTCCTCTCCTGAGCTCCAAGCACGAACACAGTGCTCTTAGAACATCAAGCCGATGGATGGACAAAAAGACAATCCCAAGGACACTCCGCGCAGACCACAAGCCAGGACGTGTGTTGGATGCTCGTTCTGGGGACCTTCCTGGAGCCACTCGCTCCACTCGTGCGTCGAAGCGGCGTCGAACGTCAGCCGATTTGGGTCGACCCTGAGTCGACCCTGAGTCGAACCTGAGTCGAACCTGAGTCGAACTTGTGTCGAACCTGAGTCGAACTTGAGTCGAACTGGGGTCGAACAGATCCGTTAGGTGGGCCCCAAGAAGGTCCCCGAAACGAGCATCGAAAAAGACAGTCCCAGGGACACTTCGCGCAGACCACCACCAGCCAGGACGTGTGCGCCACTGCTCGAGAGAGGAGGAGGAGGAAGAGGAGGAGGAGGAGGAGGAGGAGGAGGAGGAGGAGGAGGAGGAGGAGGAGGAGGAGGAGGAGGGAGGAGGACGAGGGAGGAGGAGGCAAACCACAACCCAGGACGTGTGCGCCACTGCTCGCGAGAGAGGCGGCGCCGCCGCGCCGCGACGGCGCCGCGTCGCCGCGGCCCGGCCTCCGTGGCGTTCCTGGCGGCGGCCGCCGCCTGCTCCACGGCGGAGACGTTGCCCTCGAGGAGGAGGGAGGAGGGAGGAGGAGGAGGAGGAGGAGGAGGAGGAGGAGGAGGAGGAGGAGGAGGAGAACGAGGAGGAGGAGGAGGAGGACGAGGGAGGAGGAGGCAGGCGACAACCGCGTCACACGGAGGGGAGTGAAGGGTGGGAGCAAGGAGCAGTACAGCAGGTTCGTGCGGCGTCGGCGCGCGCAAAAATTCTTGCCACCGCGTCGAGCATCCAACCTTAGGTCAACCGCGGCCCCGATCTTTCTTCAAGATTGAATTCAGTTGGGTCCGATTGCCTTGTCGTGTCCATCGGTGCTTCCGCGTCGCAGAATTCAACCTTGAACGCTTTCGCCAGCGTCGACGGCGTGCCAGCTCCGCACGAACCCACCGCACGGTGCACGACGGCATGACAGCAACGAATGCTAACACGTTATCAGATGCGTGATGGCTACGTCGTAGAAAAATATGCGCCCCCCCACCCGCACACGGCACCGCGGCCCTGCATACGGCACGCACCACACAAGGAGAAAGCACTGGGCTGCTCGTCGCTGCACCAGGTGTCGCATCTTGCCTTCAGGCCGCACGCTGCTACGATGGCACTCTCTTGGGCAGTCGAGCAGAGAAGAGCGGGTTGGAGGATCATTTTGCGGGCAATAGTTATATCCACATCCAGTGAGTCTTGGAGTTTTGGGCTACCTTCCCTAGAAACTGGAGGCGCACTGGATATGGATAGACATTTGGCCCCCAAAGGCTCGATTTTTATCCATATCCAGTGCGACTCGGCCTTGTGGTACCCCTTCCCAAACATTCCAAGACGCTCTGGATATGGATATAAGTATTGCCCGCACATTTTACAAGTTTGGCGTGTGAGTGGGGGGTCGGCGGAGGCATGCGCCTGCGGCTGTGCGTGTAAGGATGATAGCGCAACGGGTCTTCCGCGCATGGGAACGGCGAGGAGTCGGAATGCGCTGGCTGGCGCTTCACCGTGGCCTCTCCAATCTCCATCTTCCCTCCAGGGCTACCGCGGGCCCACAATCTCGGACCCACAGGATCCTGGATACATCGGTGCTCCACGCCCTTCCGATCATGTTCGTGAGTTGTCGGTCTCATAATTTGCTGTTTTGGGCGCAATCATGCGATTCGTCATCTTCATGCTCCTCCTCTTCTTCTTCTTCTTCTTCTTCTTCATCGGTCGTCATCGGATATGATTCGCAATGAGCGGCCGGTGTGGCCCCGTGCCATACACGAGGGAGGGCGAACGTTCGAATCGTGATTCGTCTTCGCCATACACCATGTGGCTGATCAGGGTTATTTTCAGGAAGGTGGAAAGCCATGCTGGCGAATTTCGGAACGAGCGTGCTGATCATCTGGCCAGCTGTGGAGCCACGGGGATCGTCTGTGGCCTGGCGGGCTCTCATCGCTGGGCGAGGACAGGCAGCCCGTGGTCATTGTGTGCGGTTGAGAAGGCAGCGGCCTCATCTTCAGCACCGCATGGACCATCATGTCTAGGCTCGTCTGGTTCACGCACGGGGGTCTGAACCTCGATGCGCGAGTGTAGTTCTGCAGCTGCTTCTGGAGCTGGCAAGTCGGGCTCGAGGGCATTTTCTTGGACGAAACAAGCACCCACTGATCATGCGAAAGTGGCCCAGCCAAACCGAAGTCCCATCGTCCCATCTTCCATCCAGTCCGTGGGAGCGGGGTCCAGGCCGCGTCGAGCTTGCCCTTCGCGTCGGAGGCCTTCGTCGATGAGCTTGCGAATTGGCCACTCTTGAACTCCCACGACCAGCTTGCCGATGTTGGGGTCGGGAGGCTTCTCCATGCGGCCGAAGTGTATCTCGAGCATCAATGTCTCGTTGTCAATCTCGGGCTCCTGCTCAAGCTTTCCGGGCTGGCACCGCAGCAGGTGCCGGCGGACCTGGCCCTTCACGAGGAGGCCCACTTCGCGCGCAACAGGCGCTTCTAGCATGACCAGGGCCGAAGCAGGAGTCGGCGGCCCCGGCTGCTTGAGAGAGCCCCCGTGATCTTGCCATCCTTGAGGGTTGAGTCACCACTCGCGAGCCTCTCTGCGCCCCCCTCTCCTCTCCCGCCAGCCTCGAGGAGGAGGAGGAGAAGGAGGAGGAGGAGGAGGAGCAGGAGGAGAAGGGGGAGGAGGAGGAGGAGGAGGAGGAGGAGGAGGAGGAGGACAAGGAGGAGGTGAAGGAGGAGGAGGAGGAGGAGGAGGAAGAAGAACAGACCCGAAGGGGAGTGCACAGCACTAAAATGGAATGAAGCAGGGCTAAATTCCAAAAACAAGGGGGGGTGGATCGAACCCCAGGAAAGTGAAAAAACTTAGCAACGGGACCTGGCCGCTGCGGCCTGTTCCCTGAGACGAATCCTCTCACACAAGGCTGACACACGCTGCTCGTAGGAGGGGGCCGCCAACGAACTGGAGTGTGAGGTTCGGACCACGGTGGGAGCGTCTGGCTCAGGAGGGGCGGCGGAAAGGCCAAGCCTCACGAGCGGAACCGCACGATCGAGGGCAGCCCGAACTCTCGGGTTGGGGCAGTATCCCTTCCTGAAATCCGCCAAAATCTCCAAACCTTTCCGTGACGGAGCCTCACACTGACGACCAAGCTTTAAACCCCTCCCTTGGGACCAACCCCCGCAGCGTAGACAGAGGATCTCCTCCTTGGACGAGAAACGACTCGACACCGAGATCGCACCATTCTTCGAGCGGGGTCCAACCATGGCGACAAGCTTGTGTCCCATGGGGTCACGGAGCAGACCACGGAGGAAAGGCGGCAGCCCACGACATCCATCCATGGGGGTATTGTCACGGCTGCCTTCAGCAACTCTGAAACAGTTCCGACATTGAAGTCCGAGCTCTCCTTTGTGCCATTCATGCCACGACACTTGTCGCCGAGACCGAGCAGCACCGAATCGGTGGGGCCTTGCCCACCGTGCATCATTGTCAAAACATGGGAGCACCTGTGCCGCAAGCTTTATGAAGTGCCCTGCTCTCTCACCAGCAAGGCTTAACTCTTGGACGAATTCAGGCATCGGTGCTGGGTGCAAATGCAGGCCTTGTTTTGCATATCGGTCGGCAGCAGCATTCGCGAGCGCAAAGATCTTTTCTTCGCCCTCCAGGCCCTGAATCTCTGCGTCATCACGATGGGCCTTGACGTGCCGAACAGTGTGAATCAGATGTGTGCCTTCGAGCTCGTGCGCGAAGGCCCGCACTCCAGCGAACTGGCTGGAGAGGGCAAGCTGGTCATTCACATTTTTCTGACAGACTCGAATGGCAGCCTGACAATCCGCACCCAGCACTGTTGGTCGCGTGGCAATCTGCCCGCAAATAGCAATACCACAGTGCTCAGCCATTGCAGGCGTCTGCGGCAGAACTCCTGGAACAATTCCTTTGACAATCGCCGCGGGGTCTTCACCCTCGTCGGGACATACAGCTATCGCCCAGGCCGCGCGCTGCAAGGGTCTGATCCAAGGCTTGGTGCTCGAACCATCTGACGCAAGGCGCAACGGAGCCTGGGTAGTGAGGCTAGCGATTGACTCAGGAGTCATGTCCAGATCATTGCCTTGCCCGTCGTAAATATAGACCTCAGACGACATCGACGGGCAAGGCAACGCGCTGTCTTCATACACGTGAACCCCTCGAGTGAAGATGGGGTTGTCGGGATCATCGCAAGCCGCGTTGAGGAATGAATCAGGCACCTCAGACGCCGCCCGCGCATCAACGACTCGCGCGAGCTGACAGGTATACAACCTATGGTGGACTGTGTCTCGTTCTCCACACTCACACAACCCGTCACACAAGTACCCCGAACGCATGGCACGATCATTAGTCCACAGTCCACCGCAGCCACAGCTCTTAATTAGATATGTTTGAAACCGAGTGAGTTTTCGGGCCTTGGGTCCGACTGCGCCCCGAATCAGGTCCAGGGTGGCCCTAGTCCCTGGAGGGAAACCGAGCGTTCGAGAAAACTCAAATTCCCGCTCTCTCTGCAGTCCAGCTTCCAGCTGTACGGCCAAGAGAGCAGGGGGCGTGGCAGACAGGTCTACTCTGAGGCCATTGTGGTCGATCCAGAAACATGGGCCTTCAGCCCTCCAGCCAGCACGCTTTAAACTGAGAGCCGCTCTAGAGATGGGCCCCTGGGATCTATTCCAAGTTGGGCACTCCAGATGCTGACACAAATCCCAAAGCTTCAAAAGCTCAGCGCGTGAGACCAGCGAGAGATCGGGACGCCGCGAAGCGGTCCACATCATGCGGCACCATTGTATAGCAGGAGCGATAGCATAGCGAGCACTACCATCCCCAAGAAGAGCGACTTTAGCCGTGAGTGAAACGCCCCCGTGAGAAGGCCCCTCGCTGCGGGCCATCATTCTCCTAAGGCTCAGCCACTCCGAGGCCGTGAGACCCAAGACCTCCGCCCCGAAACCGCAGGCAGGAGCAACGCCTTGTTTGGACACCTTATTGAACGGGGTCTCCTTGGGTCCCTTGAAACGCCTTCGGAGGGCTCGAACCTTGCGAATTCGCTTTTTCATCATAGCAATGCGGCCTTTCTGTTTCAGACGAGCTCGCTGTGCATACCGTCGAGCGCCAGCAGATTCATCTATGCCAAGATACGCGACGCTCGCCTTGCAAACAGATAGTGGCAGCTGCAGAGCCGTGCAAACATCTCGAGCGAGCTCCTGCGAGGTGGAAACAATGGACAGCTTGCCTGGGTGCAGCTCCGCATTCAACTTCGAACTGGCCGCCTGGAACTGCTTCATCCCCGCAACTGCCGCTGACTTAGCTATTACATAATCACTCGAGGCAACATGGAGCCCAGTGTCATCGATGTAGTTCTGGAAGTCCACGAACGGAGCCAGCTCAACGAACGTGTCGAAGGCGTCAACGGCATTGACCTTGATCGCCAGGTCGCTGTAGCCGTCGCCTGCAGGCAGCCCATGAGTGGCCACCAAGGCCGTCTGAGCGTGGTGTCGCCCAAGTCGGATGACTCGTGGGCACGACCACATGTTGACGACCAGCTTCAACCAACAATGAGGGGCTCCGTGACGCTGAAACTTGCGTCGCAACTCGAGTAACGGAATCGATTCATAGTACTTGACCCAGTCAACTGTGATGAGTACGCCATACTTGTGAGAAGCTTGGTTGCTCTCTGATCGTGCCGCCTGCAACCATGCACAGTCAGTGGCCGATCTCCCACGGCTGGCACCCCAGTATCTTCTGTCGAGGGCATCATGCATGTGCGCAACCATGGGCTTGCGTGCCCTCTGCCACATACGGTAGATGGCGGCATACAATATTATAAGACGATTGCCTCCAGACGGCTTTGCCAGCATCGGCATCTGGATCCAGCACAGCTGCTTGGGCAACATGCCTATGGCTTCAGACGCCGAGAGCAGCAGAGCCAAAGTGTGGAGGCCGTCGTCGTCGAGGAGCAGGAAGTGCCTCGGGTGAAAGTTATCGTAGCTAGTGGCCGTCCCAGCTGGAAATGACAGGGCAGCACGACGCAGGTCGGCTGGCTCCAGGAGCGGGCACATCGACCGATCTGGTACCCAAGGTGGGAGAGCGACGTCGGAAGCATGCCACAGACGACGATACAGTTCCACTTCCTGCGCAACAATGATAACAGGGTCACCGGACTGAATGCCAACTGCCACAGCTGGCGTCGGGATGGTCTTGACCTTGGTAAGTCGATGCAGAGGTCGGGCGCCGCCGCAGGATGCTGCACTGCACCAGTCGGCCCATGCTGCATTGGAATATTTAGTCTGACCTTTGACTGCCAGGGTGACATCATCAGCAATATCGTCGACGAACGATTGAATCTGGTCCATGTCCATGGGGATAGCATTGATGAGGTTTCGCGCCTGCACAACCGTGGCGTCTAGGCGAGCGTTGAGGCCTTGACCTGGGTAAGGTGACGTCACAAACAGGGCGATCTCCTCAGAGCATTGCACCATGGAATCATCTTTCGTATATAACGCTTGGATCGTGGTGACCATGTTCTGCAACCACTGGAGGAGGAGGAGGAGGAGGAGGAGGAGGAGGAGGAGAGGGAGGAAGAGGAGGAGGAGGAGGAGGAGGCGCAGGACGAGGAGGAGGAGGAGGAGGACCGTCTCTGCTGCTGCCTTTCGCGCCGGCTCGCGCCCGTCGCCTCCGAGCTGGTGGCGCGCCTGCCCTGGAGTCTTTGCCAGGGGCTCCAGACTTGGTCGGGGGCGGCGGGGGACCTCTCGAGCTCGCTCGCATCGGCCCCTCGTTCGCTGAGGTCGGGCGGGCGCAGCCGGCGTCAAAGCTACTGCGGCCGACGGTCTCGGCGGCGATGCTGAGCCAGGGCCTGGGCTCAGGTCGGGCATGTCCTCCCCCACAGGCGGACTTTGGACGACGAGCAAACAAATCAAAACATAATCAACAGCATATCGCAAAAATAGTCGAGAAATCGTCCCCAGACATTTTTTTACAATTTTTGAATGTTCCTCCTGTACACGTCGTTCATTGCTAATCGTGCTCATTCCTAATTGTGCTCATTTAAAATTGTTCCTGGCCCCCTAGTGGCGAGGAAAAGGCCCAGGATAGAACAATTAGAAATAAAAACGATCTCGGCCCCAAAAAAAATCAGACCCTTCGAAGAATCAGAAATGAACCATGTGCAATTCGTCGAAAAGGCGCCCCCCGACCCTTTTCTACAGTTTTTGCACGCTCCTCCTGCAGATCGGGAACGGCCAAGAGGGGGGTGTCCAAGAGGGGGGGTGCAAATCATGGCCGGCGGCATGTGCGCGGCCCAACGGGGGGGCCGGGACCGTATTGAAATAAGAAGAGGCGCCATGAAGTCTGGGGAAACATCATGCCCCCCGCCATGATATCCCCCCCCCTAGTCATCACCCCCCTCTTTTCCGCCCCCGAGCAGAGGGACAGGCCCGCCTCGAGCCCGGGGCAGGCCGCGCAGGAGGTCGCGCAGGCCAGCCGCGCCCCTGCCCCGTCGTCGGAGGACGGATGCCGCGGGGGGCGGGCTGCCCAGGCACGGGGGGGCCCCGGGGGTGCGCATACATGTCATGGCCGCCCCCGCGTCGAGGTCCAAATCGGCGGCGGGCGAGGGGGGCAAGTGATAAGGGGCGGGCCCTCTCAGAAGGCTCGGAAGCTCCCCAGCCTTCCGAGAAGTTTTCGGAGTCTTTCCCGGAGACAGGGAAAAAAAACCTCTCAGAAGGCCAGAGGCCTTCTGAGAATCACCGCCGCCTTCTGAGAAGGCCTTCTCTTTCTCATTTCCCCCCCGCGCTCGCCGCCGACAACAAAGCCACCCCCAGAATAACCACCCCGACACGCGAAGTCGTGCCGTGAGAGCGCCCAAGGAAGGAATCGAGCAGGGCAGGGCTCTTCAGGAGACGCCCCGGGCCGTTCACAACAAACGTCGACTGTCTGGCCCGGGTGGCTTTCCCCCCCTTGACCTTGGCTCTCCACCCATGTTGTTTCGCGAGCGACGGACATACAGGCAAAAACCCTAACAAGGACGCGCGGTAAGGACGCAAGACCCTTGGAAGCCGAAGTTGGGATGTTTGGGGCGGCGGACGACGAAAACCCCAAGGACGCAAGAGCAAGGAAGAGCAAGGACGCAACGGTACCCTGAGCAAAATCGCGCGTCCTCATTAGGGTTTTTGACTGTATGATCCTGGCGCCGGGCGCCCGCGCAGAGCCCAGGGGAAGAGACAACGCCATGAACACGAGCGCTCGGAGGCCCGCGCTGCTTTTCGTATAGGTCGGCGACGGCCCCTCCTCCCTGGCGCGCGGGGGACCCGCGCGGGTCCTCTGCTCGGGGATGGACAGACCCCCCTTTAGCAAAACGTGGCTTAGTGAAAACGACCTGAGGCCCAAACCTGGCGGGCGCAAGCCTGGAAAAGAACGGCCACGGCGCACTCTCTCGAGAACCGAAAGCGGACAATGCACTCATCGACGTGCCACTGTTGGGGGTTCTGTCCACCCCCGATTGATCCATGTCTGCGATCGCTGGAGAGGAGGAGGAGGAGGAGGAGGAGGAGGAGGAGGAGGAGGAGGAGGAGGAGGAGGAGGGTTCTGTCCACCTCCGATCTGCGGCGCCGAGCACGCCACGCCGACGGGCGTCGGCGGACCCGATTTTCTCGGCGGCAGCTGCCGCGGCGGTCGTGCGACGGGGAGCGGGCCGGTGGCGGGCTCGCGGGCGGGGCTCCTCGGGCCTCTCGGGAGGAACGATCTGCTCACGGCGCGTCGTCGTCGTCGTCGTCGTCGTCGGCGTCGTCGGCGTCGTCGTCGTCGTCGTCGTCGTCGCTGGCGGCCCACCGAGGGGGTCTCCGACTGGCTCGCTTCTCACTCGCTCCTCGGAGGAGGAGAGGTCCCCGTACCGCTGTCCTCCCGTCGGTCCCTCTTTCGAGCCTCCTGGGAGGCACTCGTCGCCACCGCTTCATCCGCTTCGGAATCCTGGTCAGAAGGCACCCTAGGAGAGGTCCGTATGGGTACCATTTGGTTTCTCCAGTTCTCTCGCGGTGTCGCGACTGCATTGGTCATTATTGCGCTATCGCGTGGCCATGAGCGTGCCATCAATCACGTTCAAAAGTTCGGTGAGGCCGGCTCCTTCAAGAGCCGTACCGCGGACACGGGGCGACTCTCGGAGAAAAGAACATTGCATAAACATTGACTTTCGGAGGTCCGCATGGGGCATCGCGCAGCGTCCAGGGTTCGAACCACGCGGCGGAGGGCTTGCCAACGATTTGGTGAGCGTTTTTTTATTCGGCGTTTCGACATTGGGCTGCAAGGGTGGGGGGAGAAGGGGGGTTCTGGCTTCGGACCTCTGCTTAGTGCGATTGTTTGCAAGAGTGCTGCCTCTGGGGGAGGCTCCACCCGCTCGAAACAGGCGCCAAAGAAACAGCCAAGATCTACTCCATCGGGGGGGGAGGGGGGGGGTTTGAGGACCCGCGACGATCGGCAGAAGAATTTGTAAACAAAACGATCACCAACGATTTGCTCCATGTTGGTTTTGACACATGTTTGGCTCACGCTGTGGGAGAGGACGAAGGCCAAATGGTCGGGCAAGCGTTCGGGCACTGGCCTATCCCAGCTCTCCACCCAGACAAGTTACATTGTGGCGCACTAGGGGTACAATGTCGGCGTGTATGGGAGGCCCTTCGACGCGAGGCCAGCCCAATCCAGACTCCAGACTGAAGGAACGCCAGTCTCCTTTGAATCGTCGTCGTAAGGGAGATCGAACAGAGACAGGGGGATCCGTCGCCCGTCTGGGTCGGCGGCACCATCCGTAGGGCTTTCACAATAACGGCACAACACACAAACTTTCGGAGATCCGCGCGGATTTCTTAAATCGGCGCTGGAGCCCCCAGGTGGCGCCTCCAGCACCGCACGGCACAAACACAATCTTCTTCAGGAGGTCCGCGCGGATTCCTTGGATCGGCGCTTGAACCCCCTCACTGGCGCGCGGAGCGCGCCAGGGGCGGCACTGGAGGGGCTACCAGGGGGCTCCAGCGCCGGTCCAAGAACGCCGCGCGGACCTCCGAGCGTTTGCGCTTGTGCCATTAGTTGTTCCTCGATCGGGGATCCACTGAACTTGGTCAATCCAAACCCGAGCCAGTCCTGCCTTGCAAGACCATGCAAGATCCTGCGCTGCAGGATCCTGCACCCAAGCCCGGGTCAGTGCACCCCTGGCTCTGCAGGATCCTGCAAGATCTGGCGCTCTGACTGACCCCCGTTTGCATTGATTGGCGGCGCGCAAGAGGGGGTAGGGGGAGGGGGGAAGGCTTCTGAGAAGCACCCTGCTTCTTAGAAGGCCTCCGCCTTACGTCTATAGAGAAGGCCCGCGCCTTCTAGGAAGCAGGGGTGCTTCTAAGAAGCCTTCCCCCCTCCCCCTACCCCCCTCTGCGAGTCGCCGAATTGACTCCCGTCTCAAGGCTCCCGACGATCCCGACTGGGCGTGCCCCCGACGCCTCGAACTGCACCACCAGCTCGTCCCGGCGCTCGTCGATGCTGCCGCTGGCGCGCCGGGCAAACTCCCGCACGCGCTGCTCGACGGCCTCCTGCGCGGGAGGAGCCAGGGAGCGTCGCTTGTCGGGGCGGGTGGGGGGGGGGCTGCACCCAGGCACCAGTCCTCCTCCTCCTCCTCCTCCTCCTCCTCCTCCTCCTCCTCCTCCTCCTCCTACTCCTCCTGTTCCCCTCCCTCGCTCCCCCCCCCCTCCGCCCCCCTCCCAGTCCCCCTCGTGCTGAGTAGGAGGAGGAGGTGAGAGAGGAAAGAGAGAGGAGGAGGAGGAGGAGGAGGAGGAGGAGGAGGAGGAGCAGGAGGAGGAGGAGCAGGAGGAGGAGGAGAAGGGAGGAGGAGGAAATGGAGCAGGAGGAGGAAGCGGAGGATAAGGATGAGGATGAGGATGATAATGAGGATGAAGATGAGGAGATGAGGATGAGGATGAGGATGAGGATGATAATTAGGATGATGATGAGGAGGAGGAGGAGGAGCCGGTGGAGGAAGAGGAGGAGGAAAAAGAGGGCGAGGAAGAGGAGGAGAAGGAGGAGGGAGGAGAAGGAAGAGGAGGAGTCCTCCTCCTCATCATCATCATCCTTCTGTCCCTGCTCTTCCTCCTCGCATGTGCCTTGCACGCAAAATGCTAGCCTACCTCCGATCCTCTTCCTCTTCCTTATCCTCCTCCTGCTCCTCGTCCTTCCCGTCCTCCTCCTCTTTGCTCTAGCACGTGCCATGCGCATGTCAAACTCCGTAGCATCCCTATCCTCATCCTCCATAGGTGTCTTTTCCTCGTCCTCCTTCTTCTTGCTCCCCCTCCCCTGTCCCTCCTGTTCCACCCCGGCAGTGGAGATGTCGGAGTATGCGAAGTGCGCACTGCGCCAGGTCCCTGGCGTCTCTCTCTCTCTCTCTCTCTCATGTGTGTGTGTGCGTGCGTGCGTGCGTGCGCGTGCGCGTGCGCGTGCGCGTGCGCGCGCGTGCGCGTGCGCGTGCGCGTGCGCGTGCGCGTGCGCGTGCGCGTGCGCGTGCGCGTGCGCGTGCGCGTGTGCGTGTGCGTGTGCGTGTGCGTGTGCGTGTGCGTGTGCGTGTGCGTGTGCGTGTGCGTGTGCGTGTGCGTGTGCGTGTGCGTGCGTGCGTGTGCGCGTGGCGTGCGCGTGCGCGTGCGCGTGCGTGCGCGTGTGTGTGCGTGTGCGTGTGCGTGTGCGTGTGCGTGTGCGTGTGCGTGTGCGTGTGCGTGTGCGTGTGCGTGTGCGTGTGCGTGTGCGTGTGCGTGTGCGTGTGCGTGTGCGTGTGCGTGTGCGTGTGCGTGTGCGTGTGCGTGTGCGTGTGCGTGTGCGTGTGCGTGTGCGTGTGCGTGTGCGTGTGCGTGTGCGTGTGCGTGTGCGTGTGCGTGTGCGTGTGCGTGTGCGTGTGCGTGTGCGTGTGCGTGTGCGTGTGCGTGTGCGTGTGCGTGTGCGTGTGCGTGTGCGTGTGCGTGTGCGTGTGCGTGTGCGTGTGCGTGTGCGTGTGCGTGTGCGTGTGCGTGTGCGTGTGCGTGTGTGTGTGTGTGTGCGTGTGCGTGTGTGTGTTGTGTGTGCGTTTGTGTGTCTGTGTGTGTCGCTCTCTCTCTCTCTTTCTCGTGTTGTTGTTGTTGATGATCTCTCTCTCTCTCTCTCTCCCCCTCTTGTTGTTTCTCTCTCTCACTCTCTCTATGAAGCTCTCTCTCTCTCTCTTCCTGCCTCCACTCGACCCTTCACCCTCGAGCATGCCGCGAAGACATGGTTCCCCGCGCAGGCGCGTAGAGCCCGCCACACTGGACGGATTCTCCACGCGGAGGTCTTCATGTGTGCATCTCGTGCTCCAGTCACGCTTCGCTGAGGAAGAGCTCTGTCTACGAGCATCTGGGTGTGAGAGCGAGTCAGCGTACACGACGGGCGAGCCAACGACGACGACGACGACGATAGCGACGACTTCAGTGACATGCTCCTCCTCTGGGCATCCTTCAGGAGAGATGAGGGAAGCACAAGTGGAAGAGTGAGGGAGCAATGGGCCACGAGAAGAAAGGAGAATGTGGGTGAATCTGAGTGTGAATGGCCTGAGTGTGAGTGAGTCTGAGTGAGAGTGAGAGTGAACAATCCTGCGTATTAGTAGGTCGGAGTATGCGTGAGTCGAGCATGGGTGGGTCTGAGTACAAGTGAGTCTGAGTGTAAGTCTGAGCGTAAGTGGGTCTGACTATGAGTTTGATGACTCTGAGCCTGAACATAAGTGGGTCTGAGTACGAGTGAGTCTGAGAATGAGTGGATCTGCGGGCGGGATAATCTTAATGTGAGCGAGTCTGAGTGTGAATTAGCCTGAGTGTTAGTGAATATGAGTATACGATGCGTCTCATTATGAATAAGTCTGAGTACGAGTGAGTGTAAGTATGGGTGAGTCTGAGGGTGGGTAATGATGAGTGGTAGTAGGTCCGAGTATGATGAGTTAGTCTGAGTGGGAGTGAGACTGATCGTGAACGAGTCTGAGTGTGAGTGAGCCTAAGTAGGAGTGGGTCTGGGTACGAGTGAGTCTGAGTATGGTCGAGTCTAAGCGTGATGAGTGGGGTCTAAGTGAAAAAGAAGTGCTGATGAGTAAGTCTCATTGCGAATGCGCCTTAGTGAGGATGCGGAGGGGGAGGTAGGCGAGTGAGTGAGTAAGTGCGTGAGTGAGTACGTGAATGAGTGAGTGAGTGAGTGTGTGCGGTCTCGAGGCGTCCAGCTAACACACGTGCCAGGACAAGCCTGGGGGGACGAAACAAGCAAAGCGCCTGAGACATCCCCACAGTCTGGACGCGAACGGGCCCGTGAAATACCCCTTGGCGGCTCCCTCCTGGGGTGCTGAAGCCAGCGCCTCGCCTCAGACATCCTCTCAATCTGCTTGGACAGCGGAGGAGTCGGCGGCGCTGGAACAGGCAAACTGCCCGAGACATCCCCACCATCTGGGCGCGAAGGGGCACATTGAACGTCACCCTGGCGCCCCGCCCGGGGGTGCTGAGGCCAGCGCCGTGCCCGAGACAGTCGTTCTCACAATCTGTCCTGGAAGCAGAGGATGCTGGAGATTCGGAGAGGCAGACCACCTGCGGCCTCACCACGACGTGGTCGCGAGCGGGCCCGTGGAATGCCCCATGGCGCCCCTCTGGTGTGAGGTGCTGAGACCAGCGCCTCGCCCGAGACAGCTTCACAGTCTTCGGTGGCGACTCGTGGGAGCCTCCCATACCATCTTGTCGGCTCTTGCGAATCGACGCTAATCGACGCTACATCGACGCTAATCGACGCTGAATCGACGCTAAACGGCGCTAACGCTAAATCGGCGCTATCGCATGGACTCCAGACGCTAATCGACGGACGCTAGTCGACGCTAAAGGTTGAATTAAAAGGGTAGACCAGGCTCCCATGATTTGCCACAGAAGCAATCTGCTCCGAAAACAGAAAATACTCGGCGTATAAACCGACAAACCGCCTGTTACTTTCCCACCACCTGGGCGCCAGCGGGCCCGTGAAAGAACCCCTTTGGGTGCTGAAGCCAACGGAGTGCGGACAGTGCCGTCTGCGCCGACCCGCCACAGTGTGAGAGAGTGGTGCGACTGAGCCTGAGTGAGGAAGATTGAATCTGAGTGTGAGTGAATTTGAGTGCGAGCGTGTCTGAGTGAGTATGTGATGTGGCTAAGTCTGAGCGGTGAAGAGTGAGTCTGACTATATGAGCAGCATGAGTGGGTTCAAATACAAGTGAGTCTGAGTGTGATGCGAGTGAACGAGAAAAAGGAGTGATGTGAGTCTGAGTTGGTCGTGAGTGATCTGAGCGTGAGTATACGAATGACCTCATTGAGCAAGAAGAGAAGAAGGAGAAGGTCTGGAGGCAAACGCCCATCTTAGGATGTTGGGAATAACATATACGATCAACAACAACTCAACTGGTATTTTTTCGCAAGGGCTGAGAGGCCCGCCTTCCAAGGTCATCGATAAGAGTTCACAAAAAAAATACCAGCCACCACTTCAATGGCAACTCTTCTTACAGCTGTTCTAGCATTTCAGCTGTAAATCATACCTGCGAGTACTGGGCAAACACTTGGTGGAAAAGTAAGGCGCATTCCGCTGCAACTGATCTGTTATCGGGCGGCTGCGAGACCCTGCAATGCGCAATTGTCATCATAGACCACGCTTCGGAACAGGAGGTTGTTTGGGGGGGCACTTGCATTCCGAAGCTCATGTAGAGTGCACGTCGATGCGCATCTCGACTTGCATTTTGGTTGCTGGCCGAGGGAGTTTTGCTGGGTCTAGAAAGCTTTAGAGGGTACGATCGACTGCTTTGCCCTGATTCCCCATACTGTACACGTGTCACTGTATCTGGCTCTCTCAACACGCAAGACCGCAGTGCCAACGAATCTACAAGACAATACGCGAACCCATCATGGGGCTAGCATCGGTGGCGTGTGTGCGGGATCTGCCGCCTAAGCAAGACAATCGCATGGGCAATCTGCCGACCCTTGCATGCTAGGGGTGACAAGGCGTGTGAAATATGTTCCTGCCCCCCCCCCCACCCCAACGTCCCAAATCTGGTCCAACGTGGGTGGGAGAGGGCATCCAACCTCACCAACGCACGTCTGAGTCCCTTGCGGAGCCTCGACATCCACTCTCCGCGGCCTCCCAAGTGTCCGAAATGCTCTCTGAGATGGCTCAAGGATGCCTCCAACACGCCGGAGGGGCCTCAAGAAAACCGACGACGGCGTCAAGACGGCCCAAGAGGCCCCCAAGGAGGCTTTCAGAGTCCAAGAGGAACCCCCAGGTGGCCTCAAGGGGCAGAAGCAAAGTGACAGTCGACCCGTATCATAAGGATGCGCGGTAAGGATGCAAGGGCCTTGGAAGGTCATGTCGGCACTTTGCGGGCGGGACGCGGCCAGCGAAAGCGACCAATGATGGGCCGAACGGCAAGGATGCAAAGGTACCCTTGGGAAGGCTGTCCATCCATACTATGCGGGTTGACAGTATGTTCCAATTGTTTTTGAATGGTGCTCGAGTTCTCGCATGTGGAGGGCTTCTGGCAGCCCAAGACGGCCCGAGATGTCCCCCAGACAGGCCTAAGACGGCCCAGCAGGCCCCGAGAGAGGGCCCGGAGACAGCCCAAGAGGGCCAAAAGGTGGCGAGGCCCCCAAGACGGCCAAGGAGGCCTTCAAGAGGGGCCCAAGAGTGGCACGATTCCCCACTGACTACCTGGCAGACCAACCCAACCCAACCCGAAGACCCGAAGACCCTGGGGGCTACGGACTTTATATTTGCTTTTTCAATGCTCCCCGACCCTCCCCCCACTGGAAATGGAGGGCAAACCAGGGCTGTCGCGTTGGGTTGGGGTGGTTTGGTGGGTGGTGAAGAGTGGTATAATCCCCCACGGGATGGCACCCGAGATGGACCTCCGCCCACAAGATGCGCCCTCAGGAGATCCCAGGGGGGGCCCAAAAAGCCCCCGATGGGCCCTGAGAAGGCGCCCAAGGAGGCCGCCCCCGAGGCCGCCCCCGAGGCCTCCAGGAGGCACCCGAGAAGCCGCCCAGCAGACGCGGAGGACGAGGAGGACAGTCCTCACCAACTGCGACGCGGGCAGCACGACGGTACGCGGCCAACAACACAGTTACGAGGCCAGAGGCTACGCATCTTTTCTTCTGGGAAGCGGCCGAATGGCGTAGTAAAGTCTCTTGACATAGAGCTCCAGATGCTGCCGTAAAGCGTTTACGCACCACAGGACGCCTAGGGTGCTCGCAGAGCATAGAGGCTTGACGAGCCCTCGATTCATGACTGATGCAGAAGATGCGCGGCTGATCGTGCACTACAGACGGGTGAGCAAAGCACGCAACCGATTCAATACAAACGAATTAACAACTTCAACCGATACCATAAGTTTCGCTCAACCACATCCTTCGCATGTGAAACACTGACCTCATGATCAATCAAACAACATATAAAACAAACAATCCTTGCTCATGTTGTGCTCGAAACTCTTTCGCAAGCCGTCGATTTCAGCAACGACTGATAGGACCTCGCCCTTCAACGTGTCCAACCGATTCTCCTTCGTATGTACCTCAAGTCTGGCCAAACACTAGAGAACGCTGATCCCCTGCTGCGATGCGTACGTTGTCCCCGCTGACCATGTTCACCCGCCGATCCGCACGGCCCTCTGATCCTTTCCCATGCCTCACAAATGACTTACTGCGGCACCTGCAAGCGCTGGAGCACGATAGTGCCACCCGACACCGATGTATGCCACCCGACACCTGGCTTACGATGTACTGCCCCCCCGACTCTTGCCGACCCGACGAGGTCTGCGCCAGATACAGGACCACGCACTGGTGGGAGAGTATGCGCAGAGACACACTGGACCAAGTGCCCGCGCAGACCGCACACGGGGAAACAACAACATACCCGCCGATGCCACGCCCCCAGGTGGGAGGAGAAAGAGAAGGATCAGGAGGAGGAGGAGGAGGAGGAGGAGGGGGAGGGAGAGGAGGAGGAGGAGGAGGAGGAGGAGGAGGAGGAGGAGGAGGAGAGGAGAGGAGGAGGAGAGGAGGAGGAGGAGGAGGAGGGGGAGGAGGAGGGGGGGGGAGGGGAAGGGAAGGCAAGGGGAGGGGGAGGAGGAGAGGAGGAGGAGGAGGAGGAGGAGGAGGAGGAGGCGGAGGAGGAGGAGGAGTTGGACGAGGAGGCGGAGGAGGGAGGAGGAGGACGAGGAGGGGGGGGGGAGGGGGAAGGGCAAGGGGAGGGGGGGGGAGGAGGAGGAGGACGAGGACGAGGAGGAGGAGGAGGAGGAGGAGGCAGCACGGCGACCTTCCGCGGCGGCCTGCGCAGGCCGCCCGGCGCGGCACGCCGCAGCGGAGTCGGGGGCGCTCACGCGCGAGCTCGCTCGAGCAGCCTGCGCGCCGGTGTCGGCGCCTCCCCTGGACCTCAGTCAGGCGTGTCCCCCTACAGGGGGATGTTCGACGAAGAATAAAAAAAAACCAAATGGTCAAACTGTACTCGAAAGTTATATATATATATATAATACAAAAATTTGGTCAACAAAAATATTTCAAAAAAATGCCCCAATGGACTTCCAGTCAGGCGTGTCCCCCTACCGGGGACTTTCGACGAAGAATAAAAAAAAACAAATGGTCAAATATACTCTATATATATAAATATAATACCAAATTGGTCAACAAAAAGATTTCAAAAAAATGCCCAAATGGACTTCCAGTCAGGCGTGTCCCCCTACAGGGGGATTCTCGACGAAAAAAAAATATCCAAAAAGTATTCCAAAATTGTCAACATATACAGAAAAATGATCCCCTTACTTGTTTTGACTATTTTTGAATAGTCCCCCTGTAGAGGGACAGGCCCGACTGAACCCTGGACCCCTCCAGGTGAATCCCCATTCTGAGCAGGACTTCGAGAAAGATCCAGCGATGGCATCGAGGCACGGGCGGAGGCATCGATATCATATCTCTTCCAAGTCCGGGCGAGGGTGGAGCCGAAACGAAAGAGAACGAGAGCACCAGAAGAAGAACAACACGCATGGACACAAACTTTCGACGGTCCGCGCGGAGCTTCGTCGAATATCTTCTTTAGAGGCCTCCCAAACGGGGTCCAAATAGACAGGGTCGGAGGACCTCGCCGCATCGTCAATGCATCGGCGATGCATCGTCGATGCATCGGCGATGCAAAGGCGACGTCGGCGATGCATCAGCGAGGTCCGCACGGAGAAGATCGGGCTCCACGTGGAACCGCATCGTCGATGCATCGGCGATGCGGCGCGATCCCCCGACCCCATCTACTCGGACACCATCTGGGAGGCCTGTGTCCCAAGACATGGGACGTCCTGATTGTTTTCAGGACGGCATCCCTGAAATCCCGACCCTCTCCCCGGGACCGGTTCTTCGTCCTGAGTTGTGTTTGTGTTGACGGCCCCGAAGCCCGGCGACGGCCCCCCGAGGCCGGAAACGGCGAAAGACCTGCCGTCCTGATTCTGTTACGACGCGAGCACGTCTGGGTCTGAGCACAGGTGGAGCCGGCACGAACGAGGACGGGCTCACAGCTCTAAGTGAAGGGGCCCCAGGACACACAAAGAAATACACACAAATAAAAATATTCCCTATATTTTCCTATATTTTCTGGGTTTCCCATATTTTCCCATATTCTCTGGGGAATCGAGGATTACTTGTGTCTGTGTGCTTCTTTTCCTCCTGACGAAGGGCCCGCGCGCCTGGCTCCCGCTGGCGGCCGCGACGCCGTCCCGCCCGGCGGCGTCGGGGCCGGCCAGCGCCGGGCGGATGCAGAGGGCCAGCAGCAGCGAGCGGGCGGGGGGCCGCATGGCGCTGCCTCGGCGGAGGCCCCCTCCCGAGGGTAGGGAGCCCACAAAGGACGTACGCGCCAAGCTATGTGCATGAACACGGCCTCTCGATCCGCGAGACCGGCCGCGTTATTTGAACATTTGCGCAATGCGTACTCTCGAAACCAACGTGGATTCATGTACGTGTACGTCCTTCTGTCGCTCCTGAGAGGGGCTGACGGCCACGGCCTGGAGCCGCCTTGGGGGCCCGAAGTGGCCCGGGCACTGGTTCCAGCCCGCAGGAAGGGCGGGCAGGTCCGAGGTGCTGGTTTCGGACTTGGGCAACTGGGTGTGTGCCTTGTTCGGCCTCTTCGGGGGCCGTTTTGCAAGCCCCGGGACACAGAACAACGGGTACGGGGTGATAAACTGCACTAGGTGGAACCTGGGACGGGCCCGGGAACCGATTCTGAGCGGACTGGGCCTCATCCACCCCACTGGCCGATATTTTCTACGCTCAGCCAGTTCAGACCTCCAGGCCACAGGACAAACCATACGCCCAAGGCGCGCTGCTACCCCCACAACGCTCCCTCTCTTCCTTTCTCCGTCGCCGTCGCACTGGGTCCAGGTGTGGGGGGAGGGGATGGAGCGAACGTGCTAAGGGGCCCGACCCCAGACCCCTGCGGTTAGGTCGGGCATGTCCCCCTACATGCGGATTTGGGCGAACATTGAAGAATGCTCAAAAAAATATCCAAAAATAGTCAAACGACAAATCATTGAAACATCGTCCCCAGACCATTTTTTGACTATTGCTGCATACTCCTCATGCAGAGGGCGCCCGACTTCACCCCTGCGGCTGCGGAGTGAGCCAGCAAGGTGCTCCAGGGCGCCATCGCCGCCTTCGGCGAGCAGGGGCTAGTAAAGGGGCCCCAGGACACACAAATAAAGACACATCAAGAAAAAGATTCCCAATATTTTCCTATATTTTCTGCGTTTTTTTTTCCCCCCCCACTTCCCATATTTCCCTGGGAATCGACGATGAATGGTGTCTGTGTGTGTGTGTTTTTCCCCCTCCTGAGTTAGGGCGGGGGGGAGGGGGCGGAGAGGCGAGCGCACGGCCCGAGGCCGGGCTCCTCTCCGGGGTCACGGGGCGCGGGTCGGTGACCGTTTGTGTATTACTCGGCGTCTCGACAGTGCGCGGCAGGGGGGTAAAACAGGGCTAGGATCGGGATAGATCGCTCCAGAGCGTTCCGGAGCGCTCTCAGAGCGTTCCGGAACGCTCTGGAGCGGCCGCGGCGCCCAATACATCCTCCAAACCCGCCGATTCTCAAAGATTTCGAGTTCTCCCGATCCGATGCTGTCCCGATCTTCGCGTCGTTTTAGGGGGGGGGTCTGGCTCCAGACACCTCTGCTTCGCGGCGTCTGGCGGTCGCAGCAGAGTGATCCCTGTGGTGGGAGACGCTGACCTAAGGAACCCTGCTTAAGGAACGAGGCCCCTTTTTTCCATAAGGTAAGCTTCGATTTTCCCATCGAAAACCTCCGGAAAACCCAAGCCAAGCTGTAAAACAATCAAGGAACACCGAGCCCCGCCCCAACGAGAAGGGTTCCTCCTTCAGCGCCCCGACTGTACTCCATAGGGGGGGGGAGGGGGGGGGGGCCGCGAAGGCCCGCGCCGATCGGCAAAACGATGCACAAAAACACGGCCCCCTGCAGCCACCCCGCCGAGGCCTCAAAGTAAGGGGAGCCCAGGGGCCTCGCCTCGAGCCGGCACCTCGCCCACCTCGGGCGCGTCGCGCCGGAGGAGGCGTTGCACTCCTGCGGGCCCTCTCCCACCTCGGGAGCCAAACGGGCCCTCGCCGTCGCTCGGCCGTCCATTCCGCCCGTGCATGCGTCGGCTTCGTGCGTGTACAGTGGGGGCCCTGAAGAAGGAACCCTTTTGGTTGGGAGGGGCTCCGCGTTCCTTAAGTGTTTCACAGCTTGCCTCAGGTTTCCTTATGTTTTCGATCGGAAATCGAAGTTTACCTTATGGAAAAAAGGGGCCTCGTTCCTGATTTAGGGTTCCTTAGGTCAACGCCCCGACTGTATGCTCTCGCAGGGTGGGCCCAAATGCTCCTCGATTCGATGACACTCGCCGAGAACAGTGCGCACGTCCGAGCGATGCCGCTGCAAGGGGCTTGTTCCCCCTGGCAGAGCACATGCTCGAGGTAAGCCAGCAGGGCGGCAGCGCCGCGGGCTCGGTGCGCCTTGCCTGGCAGAGGACGCCAGCGACGAGACACGGGAGGGGGAGGGGCGAGGGGGAGGGAGGAAGACTCTGCGGCGGCAACTCAGGGGAGCCTCCCATACCAGCTCGTCGGCTCTTGCGAATCGACGCTAGTCGACGCAAAATCGACGCTAATCGACGCTAAATCGACGCTAACCGATGCAACATCGGCCTCCTCGAGGTGTTCAGGGTGCCCTTCGGGGTGCTCCAGAGGAGAGTGGGCCCTTGGCTTAGGTCGGGCGTGTCCTCCTACAGTCGGATGTTGGACGAAAAGTTTAAAACATACACCAAAGAAAAACTCAAATCAGTGGATGGTTTGAAAAATAAGATGGATCTTGAGATCGATTGTGAGATCGATTGTGAGATCGATGGTGAGATCGATAGTGGAATCGATAGTGAGGACGATTGTAAGGTCGATCGTGAGACCGATACTGAAGTCGATTCAATGAGATCGATAGTGAGGTCGATCACGAGATCACTCGTGCGATCTATAATGAAATCGCTTGTGAGATCGATCGATGGTGAGATCGATAGAGAGGTGGGTAATGAGATCGATGGTGAGACCGATCGATCAGAAAATCGACCAGGAACCCGGGAACCCCGCCGCCCACCGAAATCGGCCCCGAACCACTAACCAGGAACCCGGGAACCCAGAACCGGGAACCCGGGAACCCAGCCTGCTACCAAAATCGGAAGGAAACTTTCGCCAAATCTGTCAACTGCCTGTAGGACCCCTTCAGTGCAAGCACTGATTGGGGAATAAACCAAAAATACTCGAAAATATTCAAGCATGACATAAGAGAAGAGTCGTCCCCAGGCGGCGCCTCTCCACGTGTTTGTTTTCTCATGTCTATGGCGTTTGTTCTTCGAGAGAAGGCCGCGCGAGGCCGCCCTGCGACGTGCACAGCGCGGATGTGCAGCTGCTTCAGGCCGCCACTGCCGCCGCTGTCGTGGCCCCTCCGCGCCGTCTCCGGCCGCCTCCCGCACGCCCGGCCTCGCTGGCCGACCTCTCGCCCTCGGTCGCCGATTCAGTATCCCCGTCGTCTCCTCTCGATCCCTGGTGGGCGTTTTCGTTTTCGGCGCTTCAACATTGGGCGGAAGGGGGAGGGAGGGGGGGGGTCCTGGCTCCAGACCTCGGCTTCGTGCGAGTCTTTGGAACCGTGCGTCCTTTTGGGGGCGACTCTACCTGCTTGAAACAGGCGCCAAAAACAGCCAAGATCTGAGGGGAACAACAAGTGACATAAACATAAGAACTCGGAAGTCCGCGCGGATTTCTCGGATCGGCGCTGAACCCCCCTCCCTGGCGCGCGGAGCGCGCCAGGGGCGGCGCCGGAGGCGCCGCCGGGGGACCCCAGCGTCGATCCGAGAAATCCGCGCGGACCTCCGAGTTTTTTATGTTTATGTCACTTTTTGTTCCCCTAGATCTACTCCAAGGGGGGGGACGTGGGGGGGTGCGAGGGCCCGCGCCGATCGGCAGAACAATGAACCACAAAACTTATCACCTGTTGCCCTCCAGAGCCTCGCCGTCCCCGTCGTCGGCCCTTCTCGCTGCACGTCCGCGTCTCCGTGTGCGCCTCGCTGCTCCCCGCCCCGACCCCCCCCCCGCTCCTGATCGACGCCCTTCCTGCCCACCAGATTTAGGTCGCGCATGTCCTCCTACGGGTGGATGCTGGACGAAAATCAAAAACACGGCCCAAGCATGTTCAAAGGCAGGTCAAAACAGAATCGAGAGATCGCCCCCGGGCCATGTTTTGACTCTTTTCGAATGGTTCTCCTGGAGAGGGGCATGCCCGACTGAACACCAGATTCCTCCCACCTCTCCGCCTCGTCCTCCCCGCCCCCCCCCTCCGCCCATGGAGCCGAGCCCTCGCCTCTTCCGCGACGCTCCTCGCCGTCCGCATCCTCACCCGATTCCTCCTCCCGCTCCTCCTCCCCACTCTCCTGCTTCGCCTCTTCCCTCCGCCTCCGTCACTTCATCCCTCTCCCTCCCCCCTTCCCCTCCCCGACTACCCACGTCCTCACCGGCCCTCTCCTCTTCGTTCCCGCTCCCAGTCAGTTTCCATCCCGAGCTCTTATCCCCCCAGGGCATGAGCCGCCTCCGTCTCTTCATCCTTCTCCTTCCCCCTTCCCCTCCCCGACCATCCTCGTCCTCACCGGCCCTCTCCTCTTCGTTCCCGCTCCCGGTCGGTTTCCATCCCGAGCTCTTATCCCCCCCAGGGCAGGAGGCGGACGAGGTGGAAGGGAGGAGCAGGAGCGGGACAGAGCCACCAACGCCTCCCCTGGGACTGCATGAACGGCCGCAAGCCTCAGGCTTCAAACTCGACCCGCGGATGTGTCCCGGAGCGCGTTCTGACGAGGGTCTCGAAGGGAATCCAGCAGTGGCAACGAGGGATCTCTGAGAGGCCAACGGCGGGTCAAAAAGCGTCTACGTACACGCCCTCATCCCTTCGAAGAGAAATCTTTACGCTCCAAAGGTCTTCGCTATTCCTGAGCCTCCCGGGAGGCCCTCGTCGTCACGAGGTGACGACCGAGGGCTAGCACGGGGAGGGGGAGCGCAGTGAGTCGGAGAAAGCGTGGAAGGACGAGGACGACGACCGTGCGGAAGAGGAGGACGACGAGGATGCGGAGGATGAGGATGAGGATGAGGAGGAGGAGGAGGAGGCGGAGGAGGGATGGGACGAGGAGAGGGAGGGAGAGAGAAAGGAGGCGGACGCAGGGGAGGAGCACAGAGGAGTCCTCCGCTCGCCCGCTCCTCCGCTCCTCTGGCGCGCTCTGGGCCGGGGGGGGGGGCTGGCCTGGCGGGCTCTCGAGTCCCCTCCGGGGGGGCGGCTCGGGCGAGCGCCGCGGGTCCCGCGTCCCTCGGCGCTGCTCGAG